TTTTTTTTTTTTTTTTTTTACCATGTGAGCCTGGCCAAGAGGGGGCAGCACCAGAAATTGATTAGAAATAACTTAGATTTACTTGTGAAAGTAAAATCTTTTGGGCTCTTTTTAGCATCAAGACAATTATTCTTATTGCCACATTGCCAGACAGGACATTGTTAAAAAAATAAAAATAAAAAATAACTGAGATAAGAACAACATATATATGTTTTGTTTCTAATCATTTTTCCAATAAACACTAATTTTTTATTTTCTGCCATTGAGAAAAAGAAACAGATCCTGTAATTATTTGTCCACAGTCTTCTTTAAAAGGTCATTTTTTAAATTTCTTTCTTTCCCCTCCAAACAGTTCACAATAACATTAAAAACTTTCATTTTATAATATATTTTGTTTGCTGATTTGGGTGTATAATTTGATTGTAAAATATGACACCTTAATATTCATTTTTTATAACTTAATCCATAACATTATTATTATTAAATAATAATATTTCGTCTAAGGTATGGTCTTTTGTTTTTATACCAGATATACATGTGTCAGATTTCTCTTAAATTGTTAAGGAGGTTGTATTTGTCACTTTAAGTCTCTTTTTTCTACAGTATGGTAAACTGTAGAAAAAAAGTTATTTAAAAGGTCAAGTTATTATAGCTCAGATAAGTTCAGCTTTCTGAGCCACAGTAGAAAAGTTAACCCAGCACTCCCTTAGTTAAGCAGTAGAATGAGAATTCAGCATATCAGAAGCATTTCTTTTGTTTTTTCGGGAACCAATACAGCTTACTTTTACACAATCGAACAAAAACATATACAATAATTTTTGTTGTTGTATTTTATGTTCAACCATTCCTATGAATGATTATTTGCATAATACAATGTATTTGGTTTTGTACAAATAAATGTGATCATTATGAACAAAAATAAACACTATCTGCTAAGTAAAATAGGATAGAAGAAGCAATATCAAAAATAATTTACCGTACTTTGAATTTAGTCCTACTACACTAAATATTATTTTTAGTTATTAAAGTAGATAGTTAAGAAACATTTTTAAGAAAAATTGTCCAAAGCATTGCTGCAAAACTGTTTTCATGGCTTTTATTTATAACTTCTGTTATCATCATTTCTTGTTATATGTGTTTTAACAAAAGCCATAATATGTTGCTCTCCTGACACACAATCCAGGTGCTTATATGATGTTTAAGGTCAAATTCATAGTTAGGAAGTTACTCTTTCTCCAATGGAAGTTTTAAGAACAACCTTCTTCATCTCATCCCCCCTCAGGGAACAAAGTATTAAAACAAGAGGACTTGGCAGAAATTTGCTATTAAAACAAAATACCCAAAGGGTCACAGAAAGATCCTGCTAAACACCAAGGCTGTGGAAAACATGTGAACTAGCTCAAGGTCCTTTCTTATTGGGTCTGTTAAAGAGCAGCCCTCTGCGTTCTCCGTCCAGCTTCCTTGATGTCATGGAAACAGACACACATGCAGATAACAGAAGAGAACCAGTCATGCCGAGACTAAACATGGTGAATCCTATCATCAATGAATCCTTCCAGAAACATCATCTAACACATTTATACAACTACAATTCAAAGTAACACCTGAATACGAACATTTCTAATTCTTTTTTATTCTTTTTTTTCAAAATGTTAAACCGAGTCTGAGTGTATATTCACAGGTCTTAACTTTTCAAGTACGGATACTGTTATAAATTAATTCATGTTACACAGTAACCTAATTGGTACAAAAAGATTTGGCATTTATGGTTTTAAAATAGTGTTTTATTGTAAAAGTAAACACAAAATCAGACCTACAGAAAAGCTATTAGTAAAACTTTGGTTTCTAGAGTAAGTGATGCTTATCTAGCTTTGCCAAACAACAGCAGTTGAATGCCATGAAAAACACTGATTCAGAATAAACAGAAACCAAGGTAGGGCATGCTAGTCGGAAGAGAAACGGATCGATCTCAGTAGGAACAGTACAGGTTGTCAATACAAAACAGGTGAGATTTACAGGCAAGAACAAATGTTGAGACAAATGCGCTGCACTTAACACTGATACTGTTATTTGTTCTACTGAAAGACAGGACTATCAACACAATCTGCAAAGATTACGGTACTTGACACCACCTGCTCTTCTTGCTCATCTCCCTTGGTTTAAACTCTCCCCTCGCTGCTTTGAAACCACTGTTGGATGTAGTTTCATGCACTGACTGCTGGATGTGTTTGGAGGTGAAACAAGTTCGAGACTCCCAACCAACCAAGTCTAGTGTTGGGTTACTTTTCACAACAAAACTGGAATGCAATGCACTCACAAAGCTAGTTTTCAGTCAGTGAGAAAATTAAAGTTTACTTTAGTGTCTTCAGGAAATTAAGTTCTTTCACAGAAAAATATAGATGACATCAAACTACAAGATCATTTTGGCAAAGAATGACCATAATCCACCATTTATGTTTAATTTTTTTTCATGATTAACTTTAGATAATTATGTTTCAGATATATTTAAACATTATGTACAAATATGCTCACAATAGTATGCAAAGAGTGACACAATACCAATCAGACATAATAATCGACAGTTTAGTTGGTCTGGTATAATAATACAAGTAACCGAGTCGGAAATTTATTTTATAGTGAAGATGAAGCGTGGAAATATTCTCTAGGGTTTAATCTTTTGAAATGTAGCGAGAAGCGCAAACCAGTGTCCAGATGTACAGAAATAAGTTGATGAAAATTTATCTTTTGTAAAAAACAAAGACATGTAAAATTCAAAAATCTCCCTTTTTTAAAATGTTAAAGTCAGATACAAAAAAAATGTCAGAACAGTCATGACACAAACACACAAAAACACACACACACACACAAAAAACCCTTTGTAACAGCCGTGAGTAAGGTGCAATTCACCACAGTGCTTCATCCTTCATTTGCCTGAAAGAAAAGAGTCTAAAAATAAAACATTTAGGAAAATGAGTTCAAAGACTTTGTACTTGTAGAATTTCACTAAATATTGAGCCATCACAGACAATTTTACTACAGTTTGACGCAAGTACAGCACATTGAGAAGCATAATGGTTTCATAAACTTGTTTATTGGAATCTTAGCTATCATTTATACACTATCTACTGTATGTTTTCATTTTTTTTTTTATTAATGTCTTAAACCGTTCATTCTTTAACAACTCTTCAATGAGGCTGACTTATGCCTGTTTTTGTAGGCAGCTGTTTTTTTTACTAGTCAGGCACAACGACTTAATAAGCTTAGGAGAAGAATTGTCTGGACAACATTTTTTGGATGATCCCTCGAAAAAAAACCATAAAAACAACCATGTAATTACTCGATATATTTTTGTTTGATATTAATTATCTGAAAATTTCAAGAGTGATAAAAAGCAAAAATAGAGCAAACATTTCTTCTTTTCCATAAGTGTGAAAGTGTGAATAAAGGCACAAGACATTGAGGTAAAATCAGAGGTAAAAGAATTTTTTTGCAAAACTTGAAACACCCTTTTGACACTAAGCTGGACTGTTAATCACAAACTCAACTTAGTTTAGTGAATACTGTGTGAGAATGTAACCACATTAGATTATATATGTCAGCTCATTTCATATGGTCATATTTATGGACACCATATACTTCTGCATACATGTAACATTGTTTATATGACCAGTAAAACTATTACAGCAAATGTTAAGGCAATATACTGCCATGTACTGTAACTTAAAAATATTCAATCACCTGTGTCATCTGGAGGAACAGTCACTAAGACCATCATTATGGAGACAAACTTTCAGTTGAAATCTGATACACTTTTTGCACCATTTATTGACTGCGAATCATCTTGAAAGAGCAGAAAAGGAAATTGCTCATAGAACTATGTGAGGGTGAGTAACGCTGGCTCTGATAGCTTCATGGTGCAAGCATGACAGTAAAATCTTAGTCATGCTTCTACTTCACCAGTTGAGTGAATCAACCTTATTTATAGTTCTTTTGATGTTCTTTTTATACACAAAACATAATTTTTTAAAGTAACCTTCAACACACCTGAATCAAATGATTAGATGGTCCCTGTTCTAGAAGCTTGTCACAAGTTGCCTGGTTACTTCTGAACTGATAGAACTGGAAAAATTCTGTCAGTAATGTATCTGAGGGACAAAGATCAGGGCTTTGTAATGACCATCCCAACACATTAAATATCTTTCCGCTTTGTATCTAATTGGTTGCATATTCTGGGCTACTTTCCACTCTGAAGACTTCCATCTGACCAAGCATTGACTCCCTGGATGACATCTTGCAATGTTATTAAAGTTTCTATATAACTTTAGCTCCTATCAGGCCATCTACTTCACATAGTGCATCAATTCCTCCTACACCAAAGCATCCACATAGTTTTACGTTTCATCAAACCACAAGACTTATCTTCACCAATAAAAAATCTTTTTTTCCCTGAGTGCATTTGCAAACTGCCATTTATCCTTCTTCCCCTTGCAGTGCAGTTTTAGCAGTTGTTGTTATGGGACTTGTTTCACTCAGCTTAGGTCTGTATCTTTACAAGATTCTATTTTCAAAGATCTTTCACACAAAATTTTATTCTATTCAGAAATGCATGCTAACTGTACATCCCAATGTTGTTTATATTTACATGTAATCCCTTGAAATAACGAAACAGGAAACTCTTAGTCCTGACATTGGTTTTTCTCCTGATGTATTGGCTGATTAATCTTTGATTCATTACCTCTTTCTTTAAAAAACTCCACAGTGGTTCCTTCATACGACTCAGAACTTATAAATATAAATCAGAGGCTAACAAAGCCATGACATCATCATCTGGTATTTCATAGTTTTTAAAGTCACAACGTTTGTAATCTTTATCAATAAATGTATTTGAAGAAAGGAATGCAAAAAAAAAAAAACTTGACCTCATTATTTTGGCAATCAGGATATTTTTTTGTTCTGACCTGAAACTGAAAAACTTTAATTTGACCTAATGTTAGACAGTAAGGAAAAAATATATGTTCTTCTTTTTATGTTGTATATACATATCTGGTTCTAACTGTAAAGTACAATGCTATAAATTGGTCTATGTACATGGGAAAGCAAGGGTTTGTTATGATGTGAAGGCTGAAAATGGTAAAAAATTGGGGTTGGTCTCCAAATTTCCATCCACTTCTCAGGCTGGTGCTGTAAAAAATAAATATTTCCCTTTGAAATCGAATCCTCCAATGCATCAAATAAATTTTAGTGTTAAGAAGAAGGAAGAGAACAAAAAAAAATGAAATTGTAACAATATTTTTTGTCTTAAAGACACCAGCCACTATCAAGACAATTGAACCCTCTTAAAATCTTACAAAAGCACGGAAATGTGTAAAAGGAGGGGTCAAAAACAGACATTTATATAACATGAAAAATCCAACTGGTCTTCATGTGTAAAGTTAGATTATAGCAGTTGATGCGGTTATGTCTGTTCACAGTAAAAGCCATCTGCTCCATGACATGAAAAAGCACTGATCAGCAAAGTCAAAATGTGGTGAATAAATGCAGAGTTTTTTTCTGTGTTAAACAGACTGAATGGAGAAAGAGAACGGTTATACTGGCATTACTTCACAGACTACTTAAATAATTCATATCAACATTGCTTGTAAAAAAAAAAAAAAACATTAAACAAAGAAAACAATATACAGCTACACAATAATACAATTGGTGTGTCAGAGTCCTTGAATATAAGACTTCCTCTCTTCATGCGCTTAGTCTTTTCTTCATACATTTGAATCCCTTTCTCCTTCTTTGAATCCTCGATCATACTGATCATCAGTCCTTCACCTGTCTTTAAATTCAGTCTACAATCAATACCATTCCCATCCCTTCTTAAGTATTTACCTTGTTTCAGACAGAATCGCCTCAACTTTCAGTCTCCCTTCTTTAAATAATTTTAAACCACCGAATGCTCATTGTGAAGGTGATGGTGATGCACAGTGCCAGCACCCAGCACTGTATGGTTGATAGAAGACGCTGAGCGGTCGGAGCCCTCCGCCACCGTCCCATTAACATTCTCCTGCCGTTGACAGCACAAGATCTGCTTGAAGGTGGCGCTCATCTCCTTGTCCCGATATGAGTAGATGATAGGATTCATTGCGGAGTTAAACTCTGCAAGGAGTAGGAAGAACTTCTCATAGGTGAGGATGTTGCAGCTGGAGCAAAAGACGTCGAGAAGTAGGATGACCAAGCCGGGAGTCCAACAGATGATAAATGCACCTAAGGACACAAAACATGTATTAGATATGAAAGCAAAAAAATCTTTATTTGAGTGTTAACTTAAAAAGAAGCAGATTGTTTTTGAGAATATTCTAAATCAACAAGTGTCATTTAAGGAAAGTTTTATTTAGACTGTCACTCCCAAACAACATTGCTCTGCAACCACAATGCTACCACTTAACAACCACATTATTATTAATTCACATTATAATGCATCTTTGTTACTCTGGCCACATCTGTACAGCTTTTAATGATAAAGGGGGAGTGCTTTATTTCCAAAGTGCGTTTGAAATGTTTTACATTATGGCTGTTCATTGGTTATGAAAAGAGCTTTCCAAGTGCAAAAAAAAAAAAAAAAAAAAAACATTGTTGCAAGGAAAATAAACGTATTAATACTGGGAAAGTGTTTTATACCAATTAGCCATAACATTTGATGTTATGTTAGATGTGAAGTAAAAGTACATAGGAGTGCCTTAAACCTAGGATTGAGATTTGGATTTTAAAAGGATTGGGTTAACTTCACACTGATGTAAAGAGAACAGAATATGTTTTGGGGGATTTAAAGCCTGAAACCCAATTTACCCCTTCCCCCTCAGTTGTAGCAACCAACATTTTGTTTTCTTTTCTTTTTTTTGGGTTGGCTGGGGGATGCTACAGAGGGGCGGGCTTGAGTCTTTCAATTAGAAGAAATTTCATGGCCATACTAACAGAGTGAGAGTTTAAGCAATGCTTACATATTTCCTGATAAATGTAAATATTTTATCAGTTAATACATTTTCAATCCTCAAAAAACACTTTAACATCTAAATTGTAAGTGTAAATTACTTTCAATAAAACATTCTATAAGTCTTAATGTACTAGTTTAGGTTTTAATGATAGCAAATCTTTTCTTGAAAAAAAAAAAGAAGCAAAAAGCAAATCCGAGTAGCTGTAATAAAATGCACATGCATTCTAAAGAATTGAACTGTACAAACTTTATGCACCCCATATATGCTGACATGCTCAATGATATTTGCTGCCACACAAGTCATCAGTATACCCGCCTGTGTTTGAAAACTAATCCAATAAAGTCTGTTCATGTTAACAATATACCAATTGTGTTGATATAATGATACATGATTTAAAACATCAAATAGGTTTAGAATGAAAGGAGCGTGCTGTAGGACTGATTATAACAGTTTATAAATGTTTATACCTCTGGGAGATAGCAGTGAAAACCTTGACTGCTTAATCTTAAATGACATTGAATATGCTGAAAATTTACATTGCGTCACTATCTTAGATGTGTTTTTTATACCACACATATGCACTTTTCTCCAAACTGATACAGTTGATACTCAAATGTCACAGCAGTGAGCTGATAACAGCACATTAAATCATATGCAATGTTATGCAGAGCTCTGTGTATTTTAATATATATTCCTTCACCTCTTTTCATATTTGTAGTTGCTTCAACTGGAGGGCATTTGAGCCCATTTTCCTAATTGATGTAGCTAATACATGGAGATTCTTTAGAGCACTAAATATTCCATCATTCTCTCCATTCCTTTTTATTTTGCCTCAGCTACAATAGGAATGTAAATAAAAGAATCTGAGATTACTTTAATATCTAAAAATGCATTAGATATTGAAATAATATCAATACAAACGTCATAAAAACTAAATTAGTTATTCTATATGGTATTGATAATGTCAATATTTTAAGTAGTGGCTTATAATCTGATATAACTGGTGTTGTTTAGAAAAAAGAGCAAATTTTTTTATGAAATCTCGACAGTATTAGTTCTATTCCAAGTCCACCAGGGACAATTTTATGTGTGGTTATAATTTTTTTTGTTAAGAAAACCTTGAGAGACTCACAAGGAGAAAGGGAACATTTAGAAACATTTGATAGACATGGATGAAATAAGTTTTTTGGCGCTCAGACCCCGGCAGAAGACATGATGCTGTAAATCGACATAAACTTGGATTAATAATTTAGGATGAGGATTAGAGTATACTCCCACCTCTGTTTTTATAAACTTTACTTTAATTATTTTGCTATTCACTTTCACTGCCTCTATCTTATTATTTTTCATTCTAAAATTGTTTCACCTACTGTTGATTTCATATCTTGTGGTAGACTGAGCACCAACAGGCACAGGAATACGCATAACAGTCTGACAGCAGCCTAATAATATTTAGGTAGTTTAGCACTGAAATTGCCAACCTGAACAGTGAGTATTCAGTAAGCATTATTTCAATTCAATTTATAGTTATTCAAATTTTTGTTGTTTGTATATGCTGAAGTTGTAACATGGTGTAACTTTGTTGCAATATAGCATGGCATGAATTTATCATTTGGATCTCTTTCCATCAATGACTTAAACAACATTACTAGTTTTTAAACTCCTTGGTAATCATAACCCACTGACATGAAACAGTGGTGTTTTATTATCCAACTATGATCCAAATGTATTTCATAAGGTTATTTATGTATACATGATTCATTAATTTGTGATGTTAGAATGAATTATTTAATTTATATATAAAGCTTTTCCAAAATATGTTAAACTATGATCATTTATCATTTTTTACAAGACAACGGCATGACATTTGCCTCTTGAGACTATAAAAGAAAAACTCAATTAGGAATTGTGCAAGCAGAGAAAAAGTTGGGAAAGGGGACTGACAGGCCTGCCTGTTATCTGTTTGTGCGGCAGCTGCAGAGAAGGCCTGACCTCACTTCCCAGCAATGCAAGCAGACTCTCCAGATTCTGCAGAGCTGGGTGCATTTCCTAAATGCTTCACCACCCAGCATACAAAATATCTGAACTACTATTTGTATCACCAAGGAAACACCTTAAGCCTGGACATGACATGAATAAAGGGATCAGGGAAAGAAAGGGGAATTCTGAATTCTAATACTTCATCCTAACATTACTAATTAATAAAGCATGTATTTCTAATAGGGTAAAAAATAAAATTAAAGCTTTTGTCAGTGCTGATAGAACAATAGATGTATTTACTGATACAACTATAAAATATTTACTACAAGCTTATTTTTTTATAATAAATATCTGCCCCCTCAGCTTAAAGAGTCTAAGACGAAACATTTAACTTGTATTTTATTCATCCTGGTGATTTCTCGAAATTGCCACAAGGAGGGAAATGAGCCAGGGTAAGTGGAAAGTCACTGGAGGAAAGTAAATAAACACACTGAAACACACGGAAAATGGTAAATGTAATGGCATTTCAAACCCAGAAGAAGCTGAAATAAAATTTGAATTGGAATAAAAACAACTAAAGTGAAAAAACATAAAACATGTAAAAATTCCTACATACTCCTTTCCTTATTTTTAAAAGGTAAAATTTCAATTATAGTTTTTTTTTTTTGTTAGTATACTGATGTTTCAGAAAACTTAGTGTCTCAGGAATCAGTACTATAGTTTTTTTGGGGACCCATATGAGCTTTTAATCTCTGTAAGATACAGAATATGGAAGATTGGTGGAATATCACATGAAAAATGGAGAGAAGAGTAAAGGTATCACATCTTACAGTCAAGTAAACCTAAACTAGCATGCAACAGTATTTTCTGAACTATGAGAAGTGAACTGACTAAAGTAAAAAAGATGGAAGCTCATCTGCGAAATGGACGGATATACAGTAAGATGAATCCTTTGTTAATGTCCAAATGAATTACAATGCAATTAGCACTGCTATCGTTATCAGGAAACTGATAGGGCAGTGATTTTGTCTGATGGCTGAAGCCTTGTGTTTGTTCTGGTTGTTATCATTGGGATGCTGTCTGTCACTGTAATTAGATCATTTATGGTTACAACACCTTCTCATGTTCGAGGAAAGTATTTGGTTTCCTTTTATGAGTCATCACAGTTTTTTTTTTTTTTTCTTGTCTGAAAGAAACCACAAGAACATGGATTGTTTGATCTGATTCTTACTTGATTAAACATCAGGAATGTTTAAGTCAAAAGAAATTTATGTCCTTCAACTTTTCCATATTATGTCACAATAATTCATCTGATATAGATTTACATAAATTTTTTCTTTAGATTAGTCAAGTGGGACAGGGAAAGTGTGGACCACAAATTGTTACTTCAGACTATGAAGCTATTTAACAAAAATAAACTTTTTTTTATTGATGTACTGTCTTAATTACGACTGCACCTTGATTTCACAGAGTAGGTAGAGCCATACGAGGACTAGTAACTATGACTAAAGGGGAAAAAAGTGGTTTTAGAAATTATTGAGTCAAAGAGGCAAAATCCACATGCATGACAAACTTATCAGATTGAGATTCATAAAGCTGTTTGTTATTTTTTTTCAACCTCTCAGTCGCCTACTTTTTAGTATTACTACTTTATTACTAGATTTGTGGTAGTTAGTATATGTCAAAAGGCTCAATGGGATGACTCATTTTCCAGCACATTGCCTGTTCTGCTGGAATATTTGTTTTCATTAAGTGGTAAACAGGGTAGGTACAGTATAAGCCATGCAAAAAAGGTGCACGACTGCTTTTTATGCGAGATCACACTGGATTTAGTGATATAAGAACAGTTTTGGACCAGAGAGAATAGATTCTCAAGCTACACAAGGTTTACCATGGCTGTAAAATTCCAGCTTAAGTGGAAAAAAAAATCTTAACTGGATGAAATATCAGGCACACTGTATCAAAATTGTGCTTTGAATCTGGTTATGGGAATGGAGATCCGTGGAAATACAGCACTGTGTAAACAGTAAATGCCACATTTACAGTAGGGTTTTCTTATAGCTAGTTTTTAAAAATTCAGTTGTTTTAAAATACCAAACAAATGTTGAAATATAACAAACAAAACCAGAGTAAATACAAAACATGATTTTCAAATGGTTATTTCCATTATTTAGTGCAACACTAACAAGACTATTTCAATCCAATGCCCACATTTGATACTTGATCTTTAACACTTTTGGGGTTCACTCTTAAGTGACAAGACAAAAAGTGGAATGCTTTATATCTGCCATC